CCACTGGCTGCTTCACTTCGTTGCTGAAGACGAAGCGCATTTGGTCCTGGCGCCCTGAGGAAAGGTCACAGAAGTCACAAGGGACAGGTGGCGCGCTCAAGGGTGCGCCGGCGTGTCGTCGATGACGCGGTCGGTGTCTCTGAGGCTCAAGGCAGGAGTCACGGTGGACGCCCTCCCTCACCAACTGCGAGTCGCCGGGGACCTTGCTCTTGTGGTAGTTCCGGGCAGGGCGCCGCTTTGTCTACGGTGCTGTGGTAAAGGCCACATACGGCGTGAGTGTCGTCTGCCACGCTGCGCACTTCGCCGACGATTGGGCCACAGGAAAGCCAGTGCGTCAAGACTTACGTGACCGTTACGAGACCGTGGAGAATGAGGACGCGTCCGAGCACCTGATGGACGCGACCGAGTCTGAAGACGCTGCCGACGGAGCAGGGGGACCGCCACTGCCAGAGGCATTGTTCCCGCACAGCGCCGAGGAGAGGAATGGCATCCGGAGCGTCGTCAAGAACCGCCCGCTACCCGAAGCACAGGCTGCAGATGAAGTGTCTGCAGCGGAAGACGTTTCCATGACCCACAGCTGAGTGCCTGTGGCGACTCCCAACAAGGAGCCGGAGGACTGGAGCGTTGACGAGGCAAGATCCAGCGGCGCAGTCGCCAAGGGGACTCGCGAGGGAGGCGTTGTCAAAGGACTGATCACCAGCGCGGCTTCCCCCGAGGAGCCGCCTCCAAAAGCGGCTTCGGTGCGACCAATGAGCGGCAAGCCCAAACCAAGCATTCCGACAGAGCGACGCCCAACGGCGACATCACCACCTTAAGTGTCATGACCCGGGCTCCGTTCGGCAACTCTTTTTGAGCTGGCGACGGGCGGTATACGAGAGGACGTGAGCCCGGGGTTTGTTCGTCGAGGACCTTGCAGACGCGGTCGGTGGGTTCTTTTGGATATCCTGGCTGCCGGCGAGGAACCCGGTTTATTAGTACATCGTCTTTGCAGCGAAGCCAAGACAGCTCTTCGTGTAGCCACGCTGAACGTGGGAGGTCTCTCACCAAGGCGCCGACAGTATCAACTCAGTCGCCTTCTCCTGGAAGACGACCGGGATGTAGTTACTCTTCAAGAAACAAAAGTGGATAGCCAAGAGCCAAGGGAAGGCATGGTGGAACCTCTCAAACCTCGCTACAGTGTATGTGAATGTCACGCAGTTGGATCATCTGGGGGTTGCGCTTTTTTTTTCCGTAATTTTTTAGGCACTGTAGTAGAAACCGTAGCTGTTTGCAATACTGGACGTTTAATTGTTTGTGACTTTTCATTGTCTGGCTACCAGTGGCTGGTAGTCTGTGTGTACGCGCAAAATGGGAAGGGTGATCGAATTATTTTTTTTTTTTTTAGCGCGTTGCTTTTTACCTACATTCTGACAAAAATCTTACATTGTTGGGGGATTTTAACTTTTTATGCGCCACAAAAGATGGAGTACGCAATTTGCCTGTGCGGGATCAGAGTGCTCTTTTATCGAATTCCCTAGTGCAAAAGTGTGGCCTGGAAGGCGTCGGCTGTTTTTTGTCTAGATCTTTTCTTCCCCAATTCACGCATTTTCAAAAGAGAGAGTCACGCGCGATTAGATAGAGCGTATGTTTCAGCGGGCATGGTTCCTCTGTGTGAGAACTACGAGGTCAAGCGCGTATCTTTTAGCGACCACAGTTTAGTTGCTTTCACTATTGCAAGAAAAGAAACAAAATCGCGGTTCAACTGGGAACTGTGGAAATTCACTGAGAAGTTGCTGAAAGATGAAACTATCGTTGACGGAGTAAAGAAGAGTGTTAGAAACCTGCTTTCTGTCGAATCGAGAACATTTGTCGATCTATGGGAGAATTTTAACGATGAAGTTAAAATCAACGCGATTGAAAGATTATGTATTTTACGCCGTCTAGAAAAAGAAAAGGAGATGGAACTACAGTGTCAGCTGGATTGTTTTGTAAGCATAGAAAGTGCGCGACCCGGAGCGTTTATTAAAGAAATAAAAGAAGTAAAGAGTAAATTAGAGCTTATCGATATCGCAAGATACAGAGGGGCTGCGATAGGGCCCGCGCTGAATGCCTCTTTTTGAGAGAAACGCCGACTAAGCGCTCGCTTAAAGAGGAAAAGAGATATGTGATGCAAAACGAAATAGACGAGATACAGTACGGGACCACGGTTACTCGGGACCGAAAGATAATCAAGCGTGCTTTCGTAGGCTACTATCGGGACCTCGTGGGACGTCGGAGACAAAGACACTGGGGATTCGATAACGTTTTTTTAAAGCTCATGCCAAAGTTAGACGACGACTTTAAAAATCGCCTGGAAGCACCGATCAGTGTGAGGGAAATAAAAAGGGCAATTGACGGGCTAGGTTCGGGGAAATCGCCTGGTCCTGATGGCTTAGGTGCAGCTTTCTACAAAGCTTTCAAAGCCGATGTGGCCGAAGCCCTGCACCACGTGATGATGGAAGCATACGGAAGAAAATTATTGCCCCCCTCTTTTCACAAAACGCAAACAGTATTAATTCCAAAGACTGATGACTCCGCGGAACTGGTATCAGTTAAGTCGTATCGGCCAATTAGCCTTACAAATGTGGATTATAAAATCTTTATAAAAAGTTTTAGCGAGAAGACTGCAAGGCGTAAAAACCTCCAGCGTTGGGACTCATCAAACATGTGGCATTAAGGGGATAACGATTGTCACCATCATACACATTGCAAGACGGATCTCAGAATGTTGCGATGTATTTGAAAGACGCGTGGCTATGATGCAGCTTGGCTTTCAAAAGGATTTTGATAAGGTAGCACACGATGTTCTTTTTTTGTATTTTAGAACATGTAAAACGTTCGCTGTGTACTCTTAGAAGCAGTTAAAAGGTCTTACGCTGAGTGTTTCGCGACCATTATATGTAAATAAGCGCGTTAGTGAAAGTTTTCAAGTTCTCTCCTCTGTCAGACAAGGGTGTCATTTATCAGCCTTGTTCGCTTTTTAACTTTAACCCTTTTGTTTAAAGCTTTTATTCAACGAAAAACTCCGCAATTTTAGGTTGTTGAACAGCGAAGATCCTTTTTTACGTTGATGATATCGCAATTTTCTGCGACGATAAGGAAAGCATAAATGAGGCGGTTAAGGATGTCTTTGATTTTTGTAAATTTTGCGGGAGTCTCACTAATTGGGACAAATATGTGGGCTTCTGGCATGGAAGTTGGTGTAGCACACCGAATGAGTTAGAAAGAATGCACTGGACTTGTTCGCCGCTTAAGTACCTTGGAGTGCCTTTTCAGCATTACAAAGATACCGCTGAGTATTGGAGAGAAGAAGTTGAGCAGGTTCGCGCTGAAACACTTAAATGGGGAGGCTTGAATCTCTCACTATTTGCTCGTTCTATTGTGTGTAACATGTTCCTTGTGGCTAAAGTGTGGTATGTTCTTCCGGCACTGTGGATGTCTCGGGCCAATACTCAAAAGTTGCATAGAGTATTCGCGGTTTTCGTGTGGGGTTCGGGATGGGAGCGAACCTGTCGCACAAACTTGTTTCGCTCCGTGAAGAGTGGGGGGCTGGGTTTGGTTCACTTGTTTCTTAGGCAGATGGCATCTCGATTTCTTTTTCTACGAGACCAGAGAGATGATGTTTGGCGGACTATGTTACAAGTTAGATTGTGTGATACGTTGACTGAAGTTGTCTCAGCGAGCAACATTAGGGGCCAGAGGGCGCGAGGTTTTTTGTTCGAAGTTATTAGGTCTTTTCAGTTTCTGAAGGTGCGCTTCTCGCTTGAGTACTTAAGCAAGGTCACAAAGAAGCGCTTGTATAAAGATCTTGTCGATAGTGTTTCTTGTACCATTCCATCTACAGTGAGGGCCACGGCCAAGTTGTGCTCAAAAGGGTTAAAAAGATGTTTGTGCATCCAGCAGTGAAATCCTTCTTTTTCCAACTTCATAGTGGGGCGCTACCCGTGAAGCCCTGGCTTCAAGAAAGGGGTATATTGGTGCCCTGGTCGCTCCATTGTTTTTTGTGCAGGTAGCCCGAAACTGTGGAACATATTTTCCTCGAAAGCTCGGACGCAGTGTTTCACTGGGATATCATGCAGAGTACTTTAAAAAGAGCCTCACAGTGTCGGCGTATGGCACCCGGTTTCTTTGTATCGAACGGGACGGCGGCGTGCCCTATGACACGATAATGATCTTGGCCCTGTATATTATGTAGAAATCGAGGATAGCCGTTCGCCATGCTGCCCAGTTCGACGCTCGCCCAGTTCGAGACTACTGTGTTGACAGTATCGTTCGCCTACGGGAAGTGTAGAGAGCGCAGAGCGAGCAGCCTGACTGACTGCCACCTCTGGACGGATTGGTCGCACTGGGGGATTTTTAACCTAATCGCGCCGGACAGTGCTTGCCGGACGCTTTTAATCGTTAACTCGTGTCCAGTACTGTATGTTTTTCTGCCAAGCCGGTAATAAAAAAACAAAGAAAAAACAACAGGTTAGCTCAGTTGGTAGAGCGCTCCTTCTGCAATAGAGAAGTCCCGGGTTCGATACCCGGACCAGGCGGATTTCTTCGGTCGCGCACCAGTCACCTAGCTGTGTTTCGAGATTTGTGTTTGTCCATTGTCCCTCCTGTTCCCCTTTCTCCAGGCATTATTTTCGACATTCTTGTCCAGCTCGCTTGAAAATTTGCATCTAATTGCATTATAATTATATTGCATGTTTTTGCACGCGTACAGTTATGCACAAATTCAATGTCAGCGCAGTAAATGTCACCTGGAGGTATTCGCTTTTTTTTTCTTTTCTCCTTAATAAATATTTAAACATCTAGTATATTTCGTGTTTATTTTATAAAATGTGACAAAACAATATAGTGCGAACATTTTAGAAAAATGGAGCATAGAAAGCGTCTATACTGCTTCCAAATTTCTGAAATCTCCTCGTTGTGTCGTGGATTCACCGTAGGGTAAAAACAAGTTCGTCCTAACATCCATAGGTGTCGCTTGGGCTTCAGAAAAAATCACATTTCTTTGCTGGGTTCATCTCAGACCCTAAAGGACAGTTGAAGGCGTCCGCGAACGGCTGAAAGTTTTTCATAAATTGATTACAGCGTTCCTGAATATCGGTTTGGCATGTGTTGTGGCAGACAGTAATAAAAAAAACCTGTTCCGGGCTGTACTGCTCCAGAAGTTTCAGACGAAAGTCTTTCTGCACTGCGACGGCTTTCTCATAAGCCGCATATGTAATATCCAGAGCAGGTAAGTGTGGAAAGACGCTGTTCTTGATATCAGGAGGAGGACAGGCCTTGCTTTTTCTTAAAGACCCGCAGAACGCCTTTTCAACGTAGGTCCGTTCCGTGTGGGACGACTTCGACGCGTTGGCGAACATATTGTGTACGTCGATGCAAACACCGTGCGGGTCAAAAGAACGGACGAGCAAGTCCGAGTACCAAAATCCAAGCCCTCCGTATAACATTGATTTTGTGCCTTTCAAGTAGTACATTGCCGGTGTTAAGATTGTCGAATGCATCAAGATGGAGTTCAGGTAATAATTATACTCAAATAAGCGGTGACTGTCCAGTTTTGAGAAAGAAGATAGCCGATACCTTGTTCTTGAAAGGTAACGTCGCATTGCGATACGGGTTTTGATCCAAAAATCGAGAAATGAATTTGCCTTGTTCGGAAATTCCTTGTACATTTCCGTGACGCTCTCCGAACTTAAACCTTTTTCGAGCCACACTTCTGTAACCACATTTTTTATTTTTAATATGATCTTTTTTCGCACGTTCTCCTCTATCCACTTCGAAGACGAAACCCTGGCAATGGATGCTTCCTCTATTTTTCCGAGCAGATTGTTCACGCTTCTCGTCGTTTCTCCTCCAATATACTTCCTGGCGAAGGTGCTCGTTAAAAGGGGGTAGTACACAGACTCCACACCTCTCGCGCACAAGTCAACTCTCTTCTGGGCCGCCTCGGCTCGGCTCCCATAGAAGCCCACCAGCGCTTCCGATATTGCAATGATGCCACCGAACTGAGCGAACCACCAGCTTATGTGGGCTATTAACTGATCGTTACTGAAGCGTTCCAAAATTCCGCTCATTCTGTCAAAGTATCTTTTATCGGTGATGTAGACCGTTACGTCCGCCTGCAGTGGAACAGCGGTTTCAAACACCTTTCTTAATCCTGTCAGCCAGTCTTGATATCTCGGCAAAGCTTTAATGGACGTCACGTAAGGCTCCCATGTTATCGGTTCTCTTTGGAGCTCGCTCACAACCTGCTCCTGCAGTTGGAAATCGTGCTTGGCTTGAAATGCGTAAAGTGAGGCATCCTTTTCTGGCGCAAGCAGGCTGAACACGAAGGTCCAGTAGATGGTGTAGGCTGTCACGCTGTAATCGGCCACACTTCGATGTTGCAGGTGCCAAATGTGCGTAAGCGCCGACGGACTGATTTGTATAGCCCTGGGACGGGAATCATATGTCGGCAAGATATGAACCCTGAACCAAAAGGGAACGAGCCAGTTGACATCGAGGTCGATAAGCACGTGAAGAGCGCTGATGTTCGCCGGTGATTTGTCGGGCCAGGACAGCCCTCTCTGAGTCATAAAGTTCCGCAAAGATGACAGCACCTCCCTTTGGTCCTCGTGTGTCCTATTCATGCACGATACGAATTCCGCTTTTGCCTTCTTGCCGGCCTCCATGACTGATGCGTTGAAGTTATCGCTTTGCAGTGCGCTGATGATTTCTTTCAACCATTTTCGGATGACGCCATCTGTTACGCTTCCTGCGGCGATGTTCTGATTATTTTCTGTCCAGGACGAACAGACAAAAGCGCTGAAGTTCTTGCAAGGATTCAAGTTGCGATTTAGCATCTGGTTGATTCTGTAGGCATAATCGAGGCAGTCTTCGGTGTCACATGCATCAGAGTGCGAGACTGAGCGTGATTGATGGAGTCTGAAGATAAGTACCATGATGATTAAAGTTAAGGCAAGCAGAGTTAAGAAAAACATAACTCTAGTAATTAGCATTTCGTGCCATGACAGTTCATTCGGTGATCTTGCCGCCGGCGGGGAGTCCACCTTTGAAATTGAAACGAGAAGAAAAACATTACTGAGTTAGCTGGCACACCTCATTACTGTGTACAACTTCGTGATTAATTAAGAAATTATTTTGTAGCCGTATTCCTTCGGGTTTACGGCCCAAATTAAGATTGCAACTAAGGACGGGTAAAGATTGTGAGTAGCATAATAGCTAAAATCTGCCGTCTAAAACTTTTTTTGAATAAACGTATTAATAATATTATAATATCTTATCGCATCAAATGACTTGGTAGGGGGGTAATGGCAAAAGGCATTTCTGCCTGACTAGGTCCCTACCCCTTTCAGCATACAGAAGTGCAAAAAGTGGCACGGTATACAGCTTTTAGCATTAGTTTCTGCTTATATATATATGCCTGTGTAAGCAAAATACGTTTGTATTTTACATTTTACATTTATATTTGTATTTGTTAAATACAGGCAAAGTACGTCAAAAGTGAAATTTGAACCACCGGACTGCAGCAAAACAACGAGATGTAGTGACTATTTGAAGAGACAAAAGAGCAGTCGTTACGAGATTGTGTACCCTCTGTTTTGCAAATCGATGGTTGCTATCGCGGGGTCCCCTTCAAAGAAATGTGCACCTTCGTGCCTGGCCTTATAGACGTCCTAGTATGACACGTTACGGCGCGTTACGAGCTACGTTGATTTTGTGATACAGTCTGGTAGAGAATATGAGAGAGAACTATACAAGGGTGGTTTCATCTCAACTGAGGCACGGATTTAGGGTCGAAATTTTAATTTTGATTAATAAAATACATGTTTTGGGAAAAACCCTTCTGTTACAGGGAGTGCAGGCTGCAAGTTCGGACGATTTTTTTTTTCTCTAATTTATGGACATTTTAAGGAGCCGAGGTGCAAACTCACCTTTCCCTCGCCTATCGGAGCTGTTATGCTTCACTCCTTCTACTTTCCACTTTTCTGGAATTGCATTCTAACTTTTTAGGGCCACTCTCAGAATAGGGATTATTTATGGTCAATCATTTTATTCTGATTATTTATCTTAACTTTTGTTTTGAATATTGTCAGTCTGTCTTTGTGACAATATTTGTCAAAGTTTAATCGATTCTTCCGTGTGACCTATTTGAGATATCACAACATATTTTGTATTTTCAAAAACCTAAGAGTATATGTTGATAACAAATTTAGCGTTGTGTATAAAAGAAAAAAAAAACGCAGTGTATTCTCGTAAACAAGACCATTTCAAAATATTGGCAAACTGGAGGTCGATTTTCTAAAATAAAAACTACCTTTTATTTGGCTGTTTTTTTTCCTCTGGCTAGCTATTTCAGTGCTTTATAATGTAATATAAATATAAAATATAATATTTCGTTTGTATCCCAGCTATAACATCTTGAATTTTGATTTTGTTTGACTGTTTTGTCAATACATCAATTTACTCGCTAAAATACACCAATTAAAAACTTGCGCCTATTATTTTTTTAATAGAAACCTGTAACACACTTATCCTCTGATAAATAATTGTAACGCGATTATCTATAGGAAATTTATTTTAGAAAATTTGTCAATATGACATTTTAGGTCAATATTTGTGAAAGTTTAACAGCTCTTCCTTGTGACCTATATGAGGTGTCCTAACCTATTTCGTATTTTTAAAAAGATTAGAGTATACTCCTTCTAGTGATAACAGATTCGATGTTGTGTGCCAAAGAGAAAGGACAGTATCTTTCGTGAAGCAAGGACTAGTTCAAACATTTCGCGAATTCGAGGGCGATTTGCAAAAAGAAGCCTACCTTTTCTTTTATCTAATTGTTTTTCTGTAGCTACCTGTTGCAGTGATTCATAAAGTATAATAAACAAAAAATGTAATAATTCGTTTGTATGGCGGCTATAGAAGCTAACATTTTGGTTTTTGTTCACTTGTCGCCTATACATGTGACTCAGAAAGATACACTAACTTATAATTAACGCCTGTGAAAGTTTTTGTAACTACCTGTAAATTTCTCTAATAAAAGAAGAAGCAAACGGCGCGAGTTATGGTAATAAAGTGACTAGGTCATAATATGTTTAATGTTTTTATTTTACTTGTAAAACCGCCCTTCTGCAGCAATATTTGGCGAAGTTCAGCAAGCTGTGCTGTGTGACCTAATCAATATATTTTTTATGAACTTTACATCACCGTAAAGCCCCAATTAAGCTCCTTTTCTTGTTTTCTTGAAAGAATTGCAATTTTTCGGGCTAAACATATAACGGGAAACATTTGGCTCAAAAACCAAAATTTAGAAAGACTTGCAAGTTTGAAGTCGATTCTTTATATAAACCCAACTTTCATTTCTTTTATTTTTTTATATACTGTTAGGTAATATATTTGTCTGTCAGGAACTACCAACAGAAATTTTAATATATTGTTTGTATGGACGCTATTACGACTCAAATTTCGTACTCTGAGAGGTTTGAGCGGGACTTCGCATAGACGCTCAACTGAGCAGAATTTCGACCTATGTAAGATTTTCTATTTAATGTTAGTACTTACCTCACTATCTGAGCTTAAGAGCCAGTGAAGCAACAATATTTATCCTTACAATATTTATTTACTTGGCACTGGCGTGATTTGCAAGTTGTGTGAGCTTCGCCCTATATATTGACGAAGAAGATACGTAACATCTAAACTCTCGGAAAACTTAATTAAAGAGGAAAAAGTCTAAGTAACTCGGCATGAATCACTGAAAAATGAAATGAAATGTAAACTTATGACTAACAAATTTGAAGCCTTACACGCTACGAAATTCTCGTTATTTTACGAAAGAGTCCGTATGTGTATAAAATAAACCGTACTTCCTAAGCGTCAGATACTAAATCCTACATAAGTATGTGACTGCATTTCTGTTTGACATAAAAAAATATGACAATTACATATCAAGTTCGGTATTTCAAACTCAAAGCGGAAAGCAAAAGGCCCCAGGGGAATTCTCTAACGATCTCAATTCACCCGTATTGGGAGCAAGTAAGTGCTGTGCCCGCACTTGTGGATACGGACTTCTAAGTAACTTTTTATAAGTACACTACTACAATTATTATTAATATTTATGGTTGGGTATTGAGGTAACTGCTAACGATAAACAGAAAACCTTACCTAGGCGAAAATTCTGCTCAGCAGAGCGCCTGTGCGAAGTCCCGTTCAAAACGCACATAGCACGAGATTCGACTCTTAATTGCCGCCATGCAAACAATATATTACAATTTCTGTTCGTAGTTTTTGATGGACTGCTATATTAACGAACTGTGAATAAAAAAATAAAAAAAATTAAAAGGTGGGGTTTTCTAGAAAATTTAATTCAAACTTGCTTATTTTTCGAAATATTCGTTTTTCAGGCACATGTCACGCATTATATATTCAGAGCAAAATATTCAAATTATACTCAAACGAAGTAGCTTAATTGGAGCTTTACGGTGATGTAAATATCATAAAATATGTTGATTAGGTCACACAGCACAGCGCGCTGAACTTCGCCAAATATGTTTTCAGAGAGGCGGTTTGACAATTAAAAAAAATAAAAAATAAAGTGTCTTATGAACTAGACGCTTAAGTAGCATTAAAAAGCATGTCTCGACAGTGTTCCCAAAACGTTGTATTGATGTAGCATAAAAAGTGGGGGAAAGGGGTGGTGTGGAAGATGGCACCCCCGATAAGCTGGAAAAACGTCAGTCTCCACCTTGGCCGCTTCACCGGTCTATAACTTGAGCGCAAAATATTCTACGAATTTGCCGTTTTCTTCTTCTTTTGTTATAGGAATTTCCCCAGTGAGATGAAATCACCCATATATATATATATATATATATATATGCGTGTGTGTGTATGTGTGTGTGTGTGTGTGTGTGTGTGTGTGTGTATGTGTGTCTGTGTGTGCGTGCGTGTGATTTTGGGTAATTAGCTTTTTAATATTGTCTTTAAGGGCCCGATTTTAATTAGAAAATTGCTCAGCATCATCGAAAAACACTACATCAACAAATTGCAGAACGATAGCAGGCACGCGCTGTATTTTACGGCTTTCTGAAAAACCGCACAACTTAGACGGGTTTTTAAGTTTCGCTTTTCAAGCGGAGCTCGTCTTGGCCCGACGGTACCGCGCCCCGCGGGGAAATAGTGCCACCAACCTCTGATGCGTTGCGCGAGGAGAGCGCAGCAGAGGTTGGTTGTATTATTTCCCGACGGGGCGCGGTACCGTCGGGGCCAAGGAGGTTATATTAAGACTTCTGGGTAGCTAAACTCGTGGAGCAAAACATTCTTCGCTTTTTGACGTAGCGGGGGGAGTGACCAAAAGAACGCCGCAAAGTTTCCTCCTCCCTGCGCGCGCTCAACTTCGCAACTTTTGACGAAAAATCCCCCGCGATCCCTAGGCGGTGCACGAGAGCACGAGACAGCGCGGAGAGGCGAGCGTTCACGCCGCTCGCAGTACGTTGTCTTTGAGCTCTCTAGCGCCGACAATCCCGTCATGCCTCGCCCAGGCGAGGAGCGAGAGCAGACGACGAGAGTTCGTCTGCTGCGATGCGGCATTCGCAGAGCGGAACTGAAAAAAAAAAAAAAAAATGTTGGTTTTCTGCTTGAAATCGCGTTCCGCGGGCCACAAACTCAAACACGAGCTTGAATTGTTAGCGTCTGATATTTCACAAAGGGAAGAATCGACGGCCCGTGTTTTATTTGCAAAATTTGAGTCTTCTGTAGCCGTACAGACGCTGAAACCTACCAGTGTGTAATGAAAGGCCCAGGACAACCACAGAGGCCGCGAGATCTAGCATCATTTGTGTATGGGTGAAAAGTGGAACATTTTTCGACAAACTCCCACAGTAGAAACCTGTGACGCATTCACTCAGCGTCCGGGAAGGCTAAACATGGAGACGTTGCCCTAGACTCA